TTTCATTCAATTTGCGATATATCAAATGGACACGAAGCACGAGAAAAAATTATGACTTTTTATGTATCAAGTTATAATGATGCCATCTTTGTCATTCAATTTTTCATTTCATAAAAAATGTAAACTTGTTGTTAAATTGTCAACTACTATAAGTATACTATTGTATTGTAGCAGTCTTTGTAATGTTTATTTCGTTTACAATTTTCAAGTCTTTAGTAGAAATTACATTATTTTCTTTCGAGAACTATTCAAATATTACGTGACAGTATTATGGATGTAATAATAATAGAGGATAAAAATTGAAATTTTCAATACACAGATATCGGACTTTAGTGAATTATATTTATATGTATCTATATAGCTATGACCATCAATGAAGCACACTCTAAAGCCATGCGTATGTATTTTGATAAAAATCTTCAAGACATAAAAGTTGAAACATTTTTTTTTAATAATTTAATTTAATTTTTTTATCGATCAAGATTTCCAACTTTTACTACATTTTTTTTTCTTTTTTTACTTTATATATATATAAAAATATAGTTAAAATTTACTTTTTCGAATGATCAATTCATACGACGTTCGATTCTCAACACGGATACTCGAATGATCAAGGAAATCTTGATTGTTCGAGTATGGACCATCGTATAAATGAAAAATTTCAAAAATCGTACGCATATATTTATTAATCCTAATGTTTTTTGCAACTACATTTTAAATCGACTAACGCATGTCTTCGAATGTACTGATGCATTGATGAGTTTTCAGGCATTATTAATCGTCAAAAATTCTATGAAAATTTTGCAAAAGCTTATTATTTTGTATAAATATTGAATATGTAGCAGAATAATTGTGTCTTTTTAAAGTCTCATATCTGTCAGTCTATATTGTTTTCAGTCTTGCGTATATATTTTTTCAACGTAGAAAATGGCACGGTATGTAATTATTTATGTTTATTGATCATATTTTCTCACTACCCTAAAGTTTATTAGCTTCTAATAAATTGTCTACTGTAAACTTTGGCAGTGTTACAGAAAAATGAACAAGCTTCTGTAAAAATTCAGCTATTTGTAGCTGCAGTGAAAATTTTTCTCGTTTATTTCGTGTCATCGCTTATATAATCGCTTATATACAATATTAGCAATAGTAGTATTAAAATTTTACGTATGTATTGCCATAATAATGCAATAGTATTATAATGATGACGATTATAAAGTTAAAAACATAAATATTATTAATAATAAGCATTTGTCTTTTTACGCACCCTTTCAAATTATTTCAATTTAACCATTATAATCATCTAAAATTTGTACTTTTGTTAGGGGAGTTTCATTATTTAAGATGAAAAACTGACGTAATAATAATTCCTCTAGCGCATTTAGCATTCAATGTAACATATCGTAGTGTTCTAAAAGACCAACTTTTGTAATATCACCTTTTACTATGCACTGTTGTTTAATTAAATAATTGTAATCATTAACAATTTTTATGAAAAGCTTCGCCAGACTATTAGATATTTATTGGCACTCAAGACGAATTGGCCAAAAATATGATGGAGAAAGTGAACTTATCATAATTGGAGCAATTTTTGAAATTATATTAAATTAGTTCAAATTGAACCTGCTCAAATTGTAACTATAACAGGGTTAATTCAACATCAATTTAAAGAAAAGTAATTCTTTTCGTAAGCATATAGTAACATCGTTACATACGAGTAAAAATGCGCGCGAGTAGAACTTTTGAAAATGCTAAAATTGTAGGATTAAATGCTTTTTTGAAGGTTATAATGATAGATAACTTGATTTCGTTGTGCACTTCATCATAATACGTAAAATACGAGGATTTAGTCATTCGACTTAGGTACGTAAAATCAATGGCACTGTATATACGAGGTGCCACACCGAGCTTACCTACTAGACAATTACTATATTTTAAATAATTGTGGAAATTAATTACGATATTCTGATTCATATGAGATTGGTATATTATTTACTGACGATTCAAATAGAAAAATCATTGAAATTTCTACCCATGTACCGTCTTTCCTATTTAAAACACATATCGAACAATCAGTCTACTTGATACTTAATTTGGTTGTATATTTCACGGATATTCACTATTAAACGCTTAAGAAAAAATTTTATTTTTCAAATTTAATACGTGATTCTAGTTAGTTACCTTAAAAAGTAAGTAAATTTAATTTACATTGAGAAACTATGCATCAATTACAATAATATAATTTATAATATGTATTCATTTAAATTTTATAATTGTAGTGAAAATTTTTTTATCCTATAGTCTACGACTCTCCGCGCATTCATATCGGTAAGATTTCAAATTTTCTCTCGAATTTTTTGTCATTATTCCTGATTAAATCATATGTAATTTTTTTCTCGAGAAAAATTGAGCTCTTTTGTCATAATTTTAAAATTACGATTTAACCGACGAAATGCGTAATTAAACAAGCGCGTTTCACAGCGTTCAGAGCAGGGCAGTAAGACATGGAATAAATTCTGTACATTTCAAAATTGCCATTATCGTTATTTTTTTCTTTTCATGAAAATTAGATAAAAGCACTCTCTGCATTATTCTCAAGCTGACCACCCTGCACTTTATTAAATGCAAATTAATGATTATATTGGTATAGGAAACCCATCTAAAAGATTGTTTTATTTATCGTTAAAAAATTGCTTTTTTGTATCAGAACGATCTTCCGACTTGAAGAAGGAGAAATCGCAAATGTAACACCTTAAATTTTAAGTATCGCTTTCGAATAACACGTAGCCAATTAAGGATTTTTGTTTTATTTTCAATCGATTTTGTCATTACAATCAAGTATTTATTATTCATCTATTTCAACCGATTTTTACTTGGTCATATTTCTTAAGCAAATAATTATGCGCATAATATCGTTATTACGAGCTGTATTTAATATTCCCATGCTTTCCATCTTTCCCTCATTCACGGTGGTCCGTTGATTTGCCATCTCGTAAAATCATTATCATTGCACATTTCATTAATTTCATGCAATTTTTTTGATCTTATTATTGGCTTTTTCATAGTTCGTAATTCTGTGTCCCGTTTGGTCCGCACTACCAGCATGAGTTCGCTCATTTGCGTTGCAAACTTAAAATCATTTTTGGTCACACTTCAATCAGCTTTATTTTTACTCGTATTTTCGTATTGATTCCATGTCTGCCGTCCAATCGGTTTCCTAATTAACGTTACCAGCTAAATACACATTTAGCGATCAACTACATTAAAATTAATATATAATCTAATTAATTTTTTATATTAATTCAAGAACTCCGACATTTATTTTTATATTTTTACCTGACATAATTCTAATGTATACTCGACTGATGATGGTTGATAATTTAGGCGCACCAGGTATCGTAAATACTGGAATTTTTAAAGAAACCAAAGACACATATAGCTTAGCCATTGATTACATGCAAAGCTAGATTGAAATCAATAGTTTTTTCGTTTCAATTTTTACACGGTTTTGATCGTGATTAGATTTTTACCATCTCAATTTCGCTACCCCTCCTCTGATCCAAGATTAAAATTTTTATAAAAAAACGTAAGACTAATTTTCAAATAAATTTTCTCATTTAGAATCACTATATTAGATTATAAAAAATAGGGTATAAAATTATACTTTTTCTTAATTAGGACTTTGAAATTCTAGGACCTAAATTCCAGTAAACTAAAACTTTACTAATCTACTTTTTTTGAAAACACAGCCGAACATTAAAATGGCCAAAAAATATCATATAAAAATTATAAAATTATATCAATTTATTAGTCTTATAAGTATCTAAAGCTAATCGTTTATTTCATTTTCATGACATCTTAGATTTGTCAAATCTGATTTTAAGCTCTAAAAAGTATACTCAAGAATAAATACTTGTATCACTGATGATTGTTCGTGTCTAAAATATAAAAATTACTAATTATAGTCATAGTAAAAGGACTTTTTATCTACTCATGCAAATTATTATTTATGTAAATCACAAAGTAAACAATTATATTACTTTAAATTGTAATCTTGTCTCGAGGTAGCAAATGAGCTTTAAGCACGAAATTTGCCTGCTCCAATAAATTAAATGCACTTTGAAAGTGTACCATAAACCAAATTTGTACATCAGCTTGGATTAAACACTTTTATACATATTTCAAGCGAATACGATTTATATAGAGGAATAGATATTGCGATTCGAATAATAATCTTACGCAGCCAGAACATTGACCATTATTATAAGATACAAATGAAATAAATTAGTAGAAGTAACCACAGATCGTTTACTGAATTCCACAGAGTGTTAACATGTCATTTTTCCCTTTTCAGTTATTCGACAACATCATAATTCTAGTAAGTTTGTATGCACATTTAATTGAGCTGAGGAATATCAACTTACTATGTGTATATTTATATAGCATGCACCTGATAATAAGAAAAAATTTTTTGCATCTCACCATTTTTGCTCGTAATACGTTTCTTTTTATATATTTGTCTTTATGTAACCCTTCAATATCCAAAAGGCAAATGTTCATTTTATTACTCTGGAAAATTGGTATGCAACAGCAAAAATCCATGTTCAAACAACTTTTTTTTATGTAAAAGCAGTTTTAAAAATACCATAGGAATACAAACGCCGGCTTCGTTATTAATAATGCAACAGATTATCTTAAAAACTTTTTGCAAAAAAAAGATCTTGCTCGCATTGTGAACCAGACTTAACAGTGATATTGTTAATACACTATAACAGCACTAGTTAGGTTACTTTTTCTTTTTCATTTATGTACATTTGTACCTTTGCCAACGAATTTACTCACTTTTTTCAGGAAATAGTTTTGTTCAAATAACTGACAATCGAGCCCCTAGAGAGCCAAAGAAAATGATATAAAATTATGAAACATATGCATGAAAAAGCTGTAAAAGAAAAATAATAAACAAGAGGATAATTAAAATAAAATAAGAAAACACAAATAAATAATTCGTTAAAGACATTTCACTTTATTGAATGTTCGAGTTATTCATAGTACGATAAACTTAATAAAAACAAGAAAAAAAGATGAAAAAAGAAATGTGTGAATATTAAGCAATTTTGTTGTTGTTTTCGTTCTTGACATTACCAAGACTAAAAATATTAGAATTTTGAAAAAATAATTTGAACTAAAACGACCAATTGAGTTGTAATTATGATTATTAGTGATAATAATAATTCATTAACCAATATGGACGTCACGCGAAATACTAAAATTAAACATAATAAAAATTATATTATGTAAAATGAAAAAACCTAAAAACAATCATTCACTTTTCCACCCTTTTCAGTACAATTATTCAGTTATTCTAAATCTATGTACATTCCACCGATTCTAAACTTTTTCTTTTTTTTTTATTAAACAATAAGATATCCACTTTACTCATAAATAAAGCAATAATGACTTCAATTGCTGACTGGGAACTCCATTACTTATATATTTCAACCGTAAAGATAAAGAGAGTTTGAAAGACAGCCGGTTTAGCATGATTTTTTTTCATACATATTAGTTTATCTTGTAATACTGACATAGCGTGACGTTTTTTTCGTGTAAAGCCGATCGAAGTTTTTAATATAAAATTTATAATTTCAAACACAATATAATTCAAACATTTTCGTCTAATTACGGATTTATTTATTTAGTAATTTGATTTAGATTTCTGAAAATACAACTTCGATCCACGTAGGTCACAAGTAGCCAGAAAATAAAATTTCAAAAACAAGACGAATGAAATTATCGCTCACCAGTAGCACGGCACTAATATTAAAATATTTTATAAATATCAGATTTTTCCCTTTTTTACTTATTACTCACAGATTTCGTTTTCGCTTTTTTTCTTGTCTGTATGATACCGTTTGTTGCAGTCATTATTCGGAAATGTCACGTTACATTTTATTTTCATGGCGCATCACACAATTCGTTACACAAAACAGCACTCGGGGAAGGGGCGTAATCGTGTGAATGAAAATTTTTTACACTGTGTAATATTTTCCTACTTATTAAAAATGCAAAAAAGAACGACATGGAAAATTTTCGTGAGAAATATCTCCGCAATGATCGCATCGAGATTTGCCTCATAATCAGTACCACAATTATTGTAATGTCCTCTATTTTTGTTGTCGTTAGTAGTTTTACACATACGGTTACGTATAACATTGGTACAATATAAGATTTTTTATTTGCTTTGTCCATCATAATTGTAATATTAAAATGCGATAACGAGGGATAAGTAAAACAGGCAATTTAACTACATAAAGAAACAATGAAAATCAAGTGTTTTCTTTCTATTACTTATTAATTGAGGTATAACGTATGTAAGTCAATTAAAGCCGTATTCATGGGCTTTTTACTCGACTCATTTGTTTATGATTCTAGACACATTCATTCACATTATCGACAACGCTCCAATCGTTCTGCGCGAATTTTGGGTGCGATTGAAATTCCTTCAATCACCTCGGTGGGACGAAGGCTCGCGAAACAATGCACTGTGATTTCGCGAATCCTTTGTTCATAATAATAAGATCGGTAGCTTGATCACGAAAGCCCAAGTAAATGTTTTTATCCCGCCAAACCGTGGCCACCTTATCTGCCTGTAGGTTTCATTCACACATTATTTAATTTAATAAATTGATTTTCTAATTGCCTACTATTAAACTTATTTTCTATTTGTATGAATAAATGGGATCAACGTTCGTAAGATGAGTACCTCGATTTTACGCGGCCGTTGATTTTTTCGGTCTCGTGATGCGGTTTCTGATTTTATTTTATTTTGCGCTGAGATTGTCTTTCCTGCTAGGAAATCATTCAAAGTGATCGAAAAGTGTAAAAGTACTTTTTACTCGTTGCGCAGCCGCATTTTGGCTTGACAAATCTCGGCTCTGTGTTAATTAATTTTATTACTTTAATTTTTTTACGTAAAAAATACCTACAAAGTTTTCCTACCACAGCTGAAAAAACCTTAACGCCTATACACGATATACACTTCTAAAAATTGTATGACATATCTAAATATACACATCAATACAATAAAAACGATACACTTGAGTCGGAAACGGCTCATAATTTAGTTTTGGGGTACTCCTCCACTTAAAAATTTATTATTTAAGGTCCTCGCGACTTTTCACGAGTTTTTCATAGTAAAAAAAATTGAATCGTCAACATTTAGTTCTTTATTACTTTTGTATATTCGCGCTTTATGCGATCGATTCACCGAGTACTCGCCGCAGCGACCGATCCACGCGTTTTCCTAATAATCATTATTCTATATACGTACATAATATATAATATATTTTTGTATATATATTTATATATGATATATTTTACTCGCCATTAGTTTCATCATCCTTATTAGCACTAATAAAGAAGAAAAAATGAAAAAGTTTGTCTATTATATTAATATAAAATTTGCGTCTGTGTGGGTGTATACACCACATTATCTATTATATAATATTTATATGACACAAGTTATGTATCCAGTTTTTTTTTTGTAATTATAATATTTATAGAATCCTCGTAGTAGATGCAATTTTTTGTTTTGTTTATAATCCTCGCAACGTTCAACGTCGTACACGTGCGCATTACTAGCTATACCGACGACGAAAACCTTCAGTTTTTATCTTGACTCCTTTCTCATATTTCATATATTTTTCATCAGTATTTTGTTCAATCGCAAAAAATTGATATTCATCGGAACCAAGTGCGATACTCCTCTTTTTTCTGTATATTTTTATTTTTAAAATCCGCAATGCCTTAGCCATTCACACGCGTTCATGCACACATTTAATTAAATACATTCTTACCTACGCACACTTATTATCCGAAAAACCGAAAAAAGTACACGTTAAAAATTTATATTTATACCGCTTCAGTTATGGTTTGTTTAAAATTCTACTACCCTCACCCAAACGAGTTACTGTCACAAATTACACTAGTACAAAAATGTTAGATCGGCCGTTACATAATGTAACAAAATGAAAAAACATGACAATACATTTTTTCTTTGTTGTACTTTTTCAGGCTAGTGTGATATAAGTGATTATCATTGAGTTTTAAAATTAGGAGGACAGATTCATTTTTGTGTTGATTCGAAAATTGCACTTTTCAAAACGTTTTAATCTTCAAAATGCTGAAAGGGCTAGCAAATTGGTTATCAAGACGATTGTTCGTTTAAATTTAATTTAAAATAACTACAAATAATAAAAAATAAATTAATCACAATAATTTGAATATCATCAGATGAGCACTTACATAAAAACTCATATCTGTGAGTGATTTACTCATTTTTAATAAAAAATTTTAGATCTCGATATTTAAAACTTGGTGAAAATCACTTATATATAATAATAATTTTTTACTGAATTTTTTAGTCAAAAACTAGACACTAATCTTTGGTTACATGGGCCAAAACGACTAAATTATATAATTATAATAATTCAAGATGAATATTGAAAAAAAAAAATTACGTAACCGATCATTGTAGTGCTTGTACAACAGTAGCTCGCTTATTCCGTTATTTGTGGACTGATGACTAAAATTATTAGCGTCTTAATTATTACACTTGCGCATAGTGTATATTTAATGTTACCGATAAAATCTGTTATGCAATCATAATATTAAAAAAAAACTTTGATAAGATTTTTCTGGAGTTTTAAAAATTGTAAACAGCGAATTCAAAAAAGTTATTATATTTGTGTAATTCTATAGCGTCATTCGAACTACGCATTGATAGAACAAAACTTTGAGGGTAATCAATAACAGCCCTATATACCAGATACATCGAGCTAATAAAACAATAAACTATCCTTATACTTCTCTAGTCTAAAGCTCTAAATCGGTTGGTGCGTTCCTTAAACTGAAAGCTCAAAATCGCTTTTAGCTTATCGCTTATATTTTTTGTCAGTTTCTATTTTATTTGTAACGCGTCGTTTTTCTTATTCCCATCGATCTTGATTTTCTATTTGTATGTGTTTTGATATAATTATTTAGATATGATGCATATTTTCCTCTTGAAGTAGTAATTTGCACAAGTTCGCATTTGGCACTCTGAGAAACGTAAGAGTGAAATGAAAATAGCTTTACTTTCAATTGCCACAAGTGTGTTTCATCTCGCACGAGTAGCTAAATCGTTAGTTCTTGATGTAATTGTATAATCATATAAAATCGCCTTATCCGCATAGTTTTGTAAAAATAAATTACACAATTACGGGCGTAAGCGAAATTATGTTTTTCAATATTATCTCACGCGACAAGATTTTTTCCTTTTACGGAGGAATAAAAGCAAAGTGAAATAAGGCAATATCATGGTAATAAAATACAAATCCGTACTGTGTCGAATTGGATTGATATTGATAACAGATGCTAATATAAGAATGAGAGGTGCAAGACTACCGGTATAGTTGGATAAGCAACGACCAGCATCACCAAGAAATTTTTTATCAATATCTTTTTAAAGATATGAATTTTATCAACCCTTTTAGCTCGTCTCTTATGAATTTTTTTTTTGACGTAGAAGTCGATGATCAAGAAACATTTGATCGATTTAGTTAAAAGTTGAATTATTGAGATGAGCAATCTAGGTTAAGAATTATTTTAATATCATTGAAATATTCAAATTTTATGTGGGTCGTAGATTCTTAAACAAAACAACATGGCCGTCTAAATGTATAAACTAATAAAATGTAAAAAAACAACGCTCGATTATCTAAGTAACAAACAATAGTACTCTTTGTTAATATTATTCTTTATCATTTCCATCAACTTTTCTGTATATTAAAAACTGAATTTAGGGAAAGCGACCCAGTGATTGACTGACACCCAGGGAACGACCGTTTTATAAAATGTGTTATGAAAAACAATTGAAAAATACATCGGTATGGGTGTTACTCAAGTCTTCAGCAAATGTTGCATCCTATTGTCTATGTCCAATCATCATGTAACAAGGAAAAAAGAGTAGATGAATATTCAAAAGTGGTTATTTTCTGGACGAATGCAATCAATCACTGGGCAAAGTACCTTAATCCTTTTTTTTTCAAGAAAAAAGCACATTTCTTATAATTCGATAGTATAAACCCCATCGCTTTTTCGTTAAACGTACTGTAGGATCCGTATGATTTTTAACATTATTTGTACGTTGGTAGCCGATTTTGGTTTTTATGTGTACAATAAGCCTCCACATCTTTTTCTTATGACGATTTTTAATCTCTTACAGCTTGAATTGATTGAAAAATAAACGTTTGAATAACCTGTAGATTCATGAGATATTTAGATCGAAAAATCAAGTCTAAATCGTTTTAATGATTTTTTTCCGACAATTGCAAATTATACAATTACAATTAATAAACGCAAAAATTAATTTTCCTACTTACATTCATAAAAGGCCTAACTATATTGTACAAAGTGTGCGTCGCTCAATCGTGTGAAACGACGCAATAATCACACGCGCTTTTTTAGATATGTGAAAAAAAATTAAAAAAACGAACTCTTAATGTCATGAATCTACAGGTATTGAAGTCGAGCCGAAGAAGGTCTTGCAGCTCGAGGTGTGAAAAATCAAAAACCGTAAAGCGTTGGACGCTTCGTACATATTATATAGGGCGAATCAATTCAGGCCAGCCATTTAGTTAAAAGACTAATTCTTTTCTCCATTTTCCATCAAGTGCACTATTTTTCAGTAATAGCTTGCTTAAATTATCATTATTACTATAGAGGATCATGATAGGCCGCTATTTAGGCGTTCTTTTTGTCACGATGTGATATCAATTATAGATATAATTTAAAAAAAAAACTACACATACGTACATACGCATTTTCATACACAAACATGCACACGCACACACCAATTCACAGAAATATTGCTTCCTCTCAATATTTGCATCATGCATACGTTCCTCTTCGGTCTTCTTCTCCGCTCGGCGCAATTATTTTACCTTTGTCTATCCGAATAATCTATCTTTTTGAGACGTCATATTTTTAACTAAAACATACTTCTTATTGACAAGAAGATATGTAGGCAGTGCTTGGAGCTGGGCCCTTCAGAGTAGTGTAGCCCTCAATAGTGCCATCAGTGGACTGGAAGAAAAGTTAGTTGCTTGTTGATGCTGTTGCTGCTGCACTAATTTCAACTCATCCGAAAAACGAGCCGCCTGCTGCTGCTGCGTTGTTTGTTGCTGTTGTTGTTGTTGTTGTTGTTGTTGTTGTTGTTGTTGTTGTTGATGTTGTTGTTGTTGCTGCTGCTGCTGTTGCGGCTGCTGTTGGTGATGATCAAGTGTCCAAGATTTCGAAGCGACGTTGGAAATGTTCAATTTCTCTAATTGTTAGGGCCAAGGGCTGTAGAGCTGGAAGTGCTCGCGTGTAAAACAAGAAGAGAGCGGCTTGACAAAGTGAGCGTCGACGGCTCGACAAGTAGGACAGGCGAAAACTCGACTATAGTCCGAGTAGAAGTTCAATCGCTGATGAGGATAGATCAGCGGCTTGTGGCAGCTGTTACACTGTGGGCATAAGAAACAAAAGCAACGACGTTTTTTTCGTTAATTTCGAAACAAAAAACAGAGACGATCAAATTTCACGTAACGTGCTTTATGTAAGATTAAAAGGCCCGAATGCTACGAAACCGGGCGCTTGTGTTTCTGGGCCAATCAAGATATGAGCTGTATATTATAATAATATAACACAAGTATAAAAGGACTGCATCAGTGCACGTGAAAGTCATGTTAAAGCGATGGTCTCGAGCGTGAAATATTATTTTACTTATTTTCTTTGCGTGCAAAAGACGACGAGAGGCTTACCTTGAGACGTTCGGTGCAGCAGGGCATAGCAGCGAATATGTCGTAGCTGTACATGGTGCCGAGGACGAGGCTCGAGCCGTCCCAAGGCTGAGTGCAGGATCTGCAACGCACCGGAGAGCCGCCGCTGCCCTCGAGACAGCTCATGCATACCGCAGATAGGAACTGCGTGCGACCCTCGACCTTTACCTGCGCACGTTTTAAAGCACATTTTTTTGCGTTAAATTACATTTGTATGCGAGACGAGGACGCGAAGAAGCGAAGGGAAGTGTTTGTTTTTCTTTACCTGAGCGCAAGCGGTCGAGTGCTGCCTCGGAGATAAGAAGAACGTACCATCGACCAAGGGGTATCGATCAAAGACTAGCATCGCTCCACGACAAAGCACGCAAGATACCCGAGACCACTGCAGTGCGGCGAGAGTCGACAGGATGAAGCATCTTGTGTCGTCGTTGCCGTGATTACCTTCATCTTCCATCTGCAACAAATAAACAAACGAAAAATACATTTTATCTTTTCCTTCGCTCTGCCCTTTTTTTTACATCCTTCATAAATTTTCTTTCTACGAGCACTTCCTCTCTTTCTCTCTCGCTCTCTTGCCTCGCGTCAAAATATACATTATTTTGCTCGGCTCTCTTTTCTTTCTTTTTACTTTCTCCTCGACTCTTGCGCCGCTTGCAAACTTCGGGGCGTTCTGTGCATATTTCATTCTTTTTTACAGCGCCAGAGAGAGAGAGAGAGAGAGCCTCAACGCGCGTGTACTTACATAACATGCGAGAAGTACAAAAATGAAGAATCGAAATAATACAATGGGTGTCGTTCGTAGTAACCTTAGCCTTGCAGCGGTGAGAGAAAAAAAAATTATTAATCCTGAGAGAGGGGAAAAAAGCGAGCAGCGCCAGAAAATTCGTGACAAAGGACAAAATTAAATAGCCTTAGGGTTGGCGCAATAAGACGTGGGATATGCAAACTCAAGTTTAGTACGCTTGTCATGTTTGCCATCTGTCAGCAGCGTGATGATCTTTTGTTGCTTTAAAAAAACACTCGAGAGAAATTTTCATTGCAAAAATAATATAATATTTACAAGTAACCTCAACAAATAACTGGTAAGCCTTCAATACCGAAGAATGAATCGCGCGTTTTTCCCCCGTGCAGTAACAATATTTCAATTAAAAATCAATCGCTTGTCTGCTGTGACGATCTCTCTGTCAGCAGAGAAAGAAGAAAAAAAAATACCAGATACAAATCCCTTCGTTTTTCGGCACTATCAGTTCGTATAAGCCACACCAATTTATGTTCTCCCGGTATGTTTAAGCTCTTTTTTCGGCTTCTCCCGCATGTGTGCGAGCGCCGATAGGAATAGGGAAATAATTTCGAGCGTTGGTATAGGGAAACTCGTAGATATAAAAAAAGCCCAAAGTAAACACGATAGATGGGCGAGCAAATTTTGTCGAAAGCGCATCCTTTGTTCGTTTCGAATTCATACTGTGCGAGGCGTGCGCGCGTCGATTTATCTCGAGAGCCTGTCTGTGTATTATGAAAATCCTACATCTCCTTATCTCGGCGCGTACGGCAAGTGAAAAAGTTCGCGAACTTTAACCACGCCAGAATTCCACTTTGTTTTGTCGGCTACTTCACTCTCGCCTCGTATTTTTTATTTTTTCTTTTTTTAGGGATGGGCGCGGGTAGAAAGTTGCTGTTAACCGATCTTAAGTTTTGTTAATATTTCAACACGATCCAAGCGAGCTGTCTATTAACAAAAAAATATATATTCAGCGTCACGACCTCTCAAATGTTTCTATAAAGAGAGAAAAAAAGTCGTGAAGCGTCTCTTGAAGCACGATACAGTTTGCCGATAAGCGATCATCGCGCCCATTGTCAACATCGAAATTCCGTGTTCGCCTTTCAACTCACGTGTATATTATTTTGATGGAGTATCATCCCCTTTCGACGACATCTTTCACCTCTGCGTATACTTACGCATTGATTAAGCATCATATAGAGGGGGTTCACGTATACACACACGTAGGCGAATGGGCATAAGGACACGTTTTGGAGGGATGAATTTTTTCTTTGTTACGCTATGTGTCGCTGGAGACAAAGAATTCTTAGCACTAGGTCAACCCTGGCACGAAACGTCAGTTTATGTACATTCTTTGTTTCACGCGTCTCTTTTTCCCCCCCGTTGCACACCTCTCGCGTGGTATTTTGGAAAAGACAGACTGATTGATAGCTCTTGAAGAGCTGCTACACACTGTGTGTGTGTGTGCGCGCGAGCAACACGTGGCCCGACTCGCGCGCGCGACCGTAGGCTGCCTTTTCCCGATGGTCTTTTTGTTTTCTTTGTCTGCTTTGGTTCAAAGCTCTAAAATAGTGTCGTTGTGTATTTGGCTCGTCTTATCTATACGTGGAAAAATCATCTGAATATAAAGACATACTTTTTTGTGGTTGTAAGTGTCATTGCAAGACACGAAGTGTACTTTTTGTTGATTGTGAAATCGAAAAAAGGCGTGTCCTTCGTATGAATTTGAAGTATAACTGTGACTTGCAAATTAGTAATTTATCTAAAATATATTTAATTTAGATTGTTTCTTTTCAACGAAAATAAAAAATGATGTCAGTATTTAAAAAATTTGTGCGGAAGATTTTTGGAAAATCAAACTGTCTACTTTATTAAAGCTCAACCTCGAGTCGAGCCAAAGACAATCGAAGTTATATATCCATCCTCTCGATTTTCATGGTAGCGCCCTAGGCTGGGCCGCCGAGCTTATCTTGTGCACTTTGTCATCGTTGCGCGTAAGTATTGTTGAAAAAAAGACAAAATTATACAGATATAACGTGAAAGGTACGTACGACCCTCGCCAAGAAAGAAGATTAGAATTTCAGCGAAGGGAGCAGTCTAGGCAGAGAGTGCGCGCATGAGCGAAGCGCATCGCTCGCGCACATAAATCACGCGTCACGCAAGTTGTCGTCTCTTCGTATCGTCGAGCTTTACTCTCTTTCTCTTTCTCTCTGTAGCTGTCATAGTCGTCAAGCGAAAGCTGAGCATTTATCGTGTCTCGTTCACTGTTTCATTCATTCGCTTTAGCCGTTTTCCCCCTCGTATGTTGCATATGGCAGCAACAATTTTTGTAACTTTTTGTTGTTTGACTTTGCGAATATAAAGAGGATTCGACTGCTCTCTTTGTGTCGAAGGCTGGATATTTTCGTATTCACATTTACACTGAAATTACTATCGCGTACGCGCGTATCGATTGATAATTCCTCGCGAGCAGCTGATCACAATATTGTCGGATATGATGAGTGTGCATACTTTCTCTCTCTCTAGCACTTTTCTGATCGTATATGAGAAGGGCGTACACTCGCTAATTAACAAGGCGACCCGTTGATGCCTCTTTGTTCGAGCTCGGCTCATCACGTGACGAAGGGAAAAAAGTTTTTACAAGCTTGTTTTCGCATGCCCGCGCTCATGCACGTGTGTGCGTATGTGAGTATGTACGGAGGAGGGCTTTAATAGCCTCCTACGCGTTTCGTGTGATTACATTAAATCCCGAAGGAAAATTATGACTGTATAAAAGTAATGACGTGCGATTTACGTTGCGTGCCACGCCGAAAATAATAATAACTATGAGCGCGGCCCGACACATATGTCTAATCGCTCGCCGTTTAAGATTTTCATCGAGCTATATTTTCCCTTTAATTCGCATATATACGCGTGCGTACACGTGTGCTCCTACTGCTACTCCTCGTTGCGTGGTAATGAGTCATTGTGTAGCTGCACCGACTGCAATTATCGAATTGAATTAACGAATAAAACTTGTTCGCGACGGTTTTTAATCTAAAACAAGAAAATAGATTTATATGCGAATGACGAAGCTAATATTACACCGAAATTATTTTGGCAACTTTCCCATTCCGAATTCTGCCCGAGTCGCACGCGTGTACCATAATACACAATCGTCGAAATTCGAATCTTTGCACAAGGATTTTCCAATCTCGACATCGAGCGGGGTGAGGAAACTTTCTAACCAATAAGTAAGGGCAACAGCATGTTTCCACGAGCAAAAAAGTTTGCGGAATGAGAGGAAAAAAGCCATACTCGGGGAACGATGTAACGTCGCCGAGCGGGGGAGCAGCCTCGTCCCTTTTTCTTATTATTTCACTTTAAGGAGACGCGCACACTCCAACTTTTCGACCATGAAAGAGAAAAAAGCGAGTCTTAGCAGCCCCCAATCAGACTGCTGTTGTCTTTCTCTCTTCTTTTTTTTTTTTACTTATATATATGTGTGCGCGATTTCTTAACTAAATCAACGATTTGTCCCAATGTCTATTCCTCCGAACTTTCCGTTATAGCCAATTTTCGTTCCAACTCTCTTCACTTTACAGTCGATCGGATTGCTCCAAGGAGGGACAAAAAAGCCAGCTTCAATTATACTTCAAGAGCGAGACAGAAGGAAATTGAATTAATTTTTTCTTTTCTTTTTCAGAACGTGTTCTTAACCACCCCTGGAGCAGACTTTTGACATTTGATTTTCGATGATAATTAATGATTCAACTCGAGATAATTTCATTGTCTACGGTAATGTGCAAGCTCACCAAATGATGCAATACTTTTTATAGGCATTATTGAATGGATTTTTACCTGAAACAGAAAAAAGACCAAACTCATTAGTATGGATATTCAAGCTTTTAATTATATATGTGATTGAATAATTATTTGGAAGACAGAAGTGAAAAGAAGTGTCAATTACTGAACTGGGAGAAGTCGTTATATTTTACGCAATTTACCTAGAAAAACCCGAATTGTGAAAGTAGCGCGATAAACAGGACGCGAGGGTGATATAGTTAGCGCCAAAAATCGAAACTCATTTAAGGACAAAAACCACTGGCTTTTTGCGTTTTCCCTTTGAATATTTCATGCAGGCATCGTAACACTCACTATTGGAAGGGGAAAAAAATATTAGCTCTCGTATGGTCGTATGCTTCGATCGTCGTCGTCGTCGTACACGCGGGAATTTAATCAGTGAACGGCTACCGACGCCTATGCGCGAGACAGAGGACGAGGTACGTTTATAACGTTCGATGACCGGTGCGTTATTGGTATTCCAGTCATAGACAGACACACCGCAGCTATTGCAATGACGAACTTGAATATGTCTATATTGATCCCTCTCCATTGCGTCAACTATAATATGCAAAGCCCGTAGTGCGAGCGTAGAAGCCAGTCGGTTGCTGCACGTGGCACGTATATGCGGGAAAAATTAATTACTCAATATAAGAATATATCCAGAGAGAGAGAGAGAGAGAGAAAAAGCATGTACGAGGCAAACGATTTATTCGCGGATCGATTTTCCTTGTGTTTCCCGGATTGCTTCAATCTTCTCTGCGCGGCTCGACGTCGTTGTCCGCACACGCGTACTGGGAATTTCAATTAACGCACCCGAGAGGCGTGCGTATTGCGCGTTGAAATTCATGAAA